TCTCTGCTCTTTGCAGATGATGTGGTCCAGTTGGCGTCATTGTGCCGTGATCTTCAGCTCTCACTGGAGCGGTTCACAGTCAGGTGTGAAGTGGCTGGGATGAGAATCAGCACCTCCAAATCTGAGGCCATGGTCCTCAACTAGAAAAGGGTGGATTGCTCTCTTCAGTTCGAGGGTGAGGTTCTGCTTCAAGTGGAGGAGTTCAAGTATCTCTGGGTTGTATTCATGAGTGAGGGCAGAGTGGAGCGTGAGCTTGACAGACGGATTGATGCAGCATCTGCAGTATTGTGGACACTGTACCGGTCTGTTGTGGTGAAGAGGGAGCTGAGCTGTAAGGCAAAGTTCTCTGTTTACTGGTCCGTCTACGTTCCTACCCTCACCTATGGTCACGAACTCTGGGTAGTGACCAACAGAATGAAATCATGGATACAGGCGGTTGAAATGTTTCCTCCGCAGGGTAGCTGGACTCTCCCTTAGAGATAGGGTGAGAAATTCAGTTATTCAGGAAAGACTCAGAGTAGAACCACTGCTCCTCCACATCGAGAGGAGCCAGTTGAGGTGGTTTGGGCATCTGGTAAGGATGCTCCCTGGGCGCCTCCCTAGGGAGGTGCTTCAGGCATGTTCGACTGGGAGGAGAACCTGGGGAGTACTCAGGACACGCTGGAGAGATTATGTCTCTCAGTTGGCCTGGGAGAATGTGGTAAAAAATAATACATTTCCAAATCTTCAAATATACATAACCAGTTTTAAATTAGCAGTCACAATGAGGTCATAACAAAGTGAAAAATATGTGTAAATCTTTCTAATCAGCCCTTAAAACTCATAATTCTACATTTTTCCGGAGTCCACCTTCATTGTTCTGCATCAAGGTACCTTATTTTCAAGAAACAAGGAACAACTCAAACCAAGATGTGACCTGAATTTGCATGTTCAGTATGGCCATTAGAAGCAACATAACGAGTTCAGTGTTCAGCCTGAATTGAGCGAAGCTGCCGTGGAGAGAAGATGGCAGCAGAAAGTGAAGTTGGCGGACTGCTTGTCTTGAAATTAGGACACATCAAGCCCCAAGATGAGCATGAAAATACACGTGTACACTAGTGTGTGTTAGTGTGTGTGCTTATTTACACAATTCTCAGTCACCAACAAGGCGACTGTTGATTTTATTTAAATAAATCACTCATTACCCATTAAACTTCACTCAACATTAGGAGCAAAAACACAAACTATATCCACCATCAGCTCAGTAGATAACAGATCCTCATTTTTACTAATCCCTAAAGCCCATATTTAAGGAACTGGGTGAAAGTGATGGTTGTATGAAAGACAAATAAGACATTTGTGTAATCCAGGACTGAACCTGAGTTGAAGTATCTGCCAGTTGCCATTGTAAAGAGTAACGAGTTCATATCACATAAAAAACCCTCTTATTATTAGACATTTAGTGTTTTCTAAGTTACTTGAGTTACAAAGTGAATTACAGTAGAGTATACCGCTGATTTATAAAAGCTGCTGGCTTATAAAGTTAATAAAGTTAGAAAAAAAACATTTTTTTCTTAAATTTTTTTTTTTATCATTTACCTGAAATCTTGTCTAGAAACAAGTGATTTTAATATGATTAAAAAGGGTGACAGATAAAGTTTTCATGTCCTACACTTCTTTAAAATGGTAGATAACTGCCACCATGTGGGCAAATGTTATCAACACAACCTGGGAAGACTTCCGGCTACAAATGTTCACAGTAAATAATCCGTCCAAAATGAGTGTGTGGTCTTCACAGGCCACGCTCAATAATTTACCAGCTTTATAAAACATTCATATATATCCTTAAGGCTTGATTTGACTCTGTATGTCCTAATGTGATTATTTTTGCATGGCCATTTGAATGAGACCCACTAAAGCATGACAGGAATTGATTTTTACCCCTGTATGCATATTTGCATTTGAATAGAACACTTGTGCATGAATGCCAAAGAGGGCATTCAGCACAGAAGGTTCCTGTGAGTCACCGCAGTAATACATCGCACACTTCGCCTTCATCCAATCAGCACACAGCTTGCTACAGTATAAGCAGCAATATGACAAATCTTCTTGGATTAAATGAGTTACAGATGAGATGACATATGGATAAAAATGTAATAATATTGTGTAATATTGTGCATGATGCCATTAAACTGTACTATAAAGAACAGATGCAGTTTCAACAAAGACTAATGATTTGTACTGATGTGAAATGCATTTTCTATTTGGAGCCTTAGTGAATTATAAATCATGTTTGAAGGAGCTGTGGGATAAGTTGCACTGTTGTTCCTAAGTAAAAGTTTAGAAGGAAAAGCTCTGAGTTCATTATTTATTTGTTAATATTGTTTTCTAAGAAGGTTGGTTGTAGTTTCTACACTCCTTAACACTTCTTTAAGGCATTCTGGGATGTGCCATGTCTGATTTCAATATAATTTCAGGCATTTTGTTCATTTAGACAGAGGAAGCTAAAAAAAATTGATGGATTAACTTCTTTGGCAACAAATTTGTCACCCCGCTGCCCCAAAAAATAAATAAAAATTCATTGCAGTTACAGTAATATTACATCCATTATGGGCCAGTTTTAGGTTACTTGGGGATAAAATATTTTCACTAGTCAATTAGTGCACATAAAATATAAATTAGTTAACTAGTAAGGTCAAATAAGTACAAAGTACTACTAGTCCACTTGTTGACAAAAAATGCATCAACTTCTCCAATAGTGAATATTTTAGAGTTTACATTTGACTACGTACAATTTTAGGTCACGTTAGTCAACTATTAGAAACAATTGTGTTGACTAGTTAACATGTAAGTATTTTTTATGCTTACAGTAGTTATCTTTTATGACAGTTCAGTGGTCTAGTTTATTATCATTATTATTAATAATAATAATAATGTGTTGTCATCATTGTATGTTCCCATACAATGACGAAATTGCCTCTCTGCATTTGGCCTATCCACCCCCAGGTGGGGTGGTGGGCGGCTGTTGGGGCTCCTGGGGACAATTGGGGATAGGGTGTGCTGCTCAGAGACACCACGAGTGCAATGATTGGGGATGGAGCCTGGTGCTTTCAGGTCCCGGGTCAGCTGCCCTGCCTCTACCCCATCTCAGCCCCCAGTTAGTGGTCCACTAGTTCATTCCATTTCAGTTTATTTATATGGTGCCAGTTCATAAACACAAATATTCCCATAAAATGCAAATTAGTGAAAGTTATCTTTCTAAGGAAGAGAGTAATTTGTGTCAAATCTTTACTTTTCATTTATGTATGTGTGACTGATCTGGTGTGGGAGGGAAAGACTGGGAGGTTGTTATGTGTTTTATATGTTCAAAATGAAAAATGTATAAAAATACTTTGATTAAAAACAATCTTCACTTTGTTGCGAGCTCCCGTTTTTAGCAGCACATTGGCGACAGAAAGAACTTTCCAGCAAAACTGGGCTCAAGATGAGCGGCCACCTGCTTTTACTGGCTGGTGGTTTGAGAGGAGGAAAAGGACACATATTAATTAAAAAGCCCACTAATTGGAACTATCCAGTTATTAGAGGGGCAAAATTGCTGGCTAATAAATTTCAGCAAAGTGCCACTAGCTGGTAAAAAAAAAAAAAGTGTTAGTAAGAGTGTTTGTTGATTTAGTTAAAAAACATTGTTGAACTATTGTGACTAAATATGCAACTTGTGCAGTGTAGTTGCAAACTAGTGGGTGAAAAGATGCTTGACATTTAAGGTTCAAGATTCAAGATTCTTTATTATCATTTGCGTCACATGTGGTACATGAGGTTGAACAAAATTGTGTGCAGGTCCCAGTTACATCCAACAACAGCAAAATATAAATTGTAAAAGGAAACAGTTATAAGATCCAAGATATAAACTAAGAAATACACTGAACACTAATAGTGCAAAACAATACGCCGAACAACAGCAGCACGAACATGAGTCTGTGTGAGCAGATGAGTACGAATGAACACAGCAAGATGAAATAATTAGCAGCATGAGATCAGCAGCATGGATAATCAGCAGCACATATCAACAATGAAAGTGACATTACATTGATTTTTTTTGTTGTTGTTTTTTCTATATCAGGCGTATTGAATACATACTGCCATGGCAAGAATTACTATGTTTTGTTAAACAAATACTTTGTTAACAAGGTCAATAGTTGACTTGCCCCAGTTTTAAAACTGGGTCCTTTATATGGAAGGACAACTTGTTTTTTCTTCTTTCAGCTGCTCTTCTTCTTCAGGGGTCGCCACAGCGAACTATCACACGAAGACTTGACAATTGTTTTTACACAGGATGCTCTTCCTGACACAACCACTGAGCACCGAGCTGCCACAGCCCTCTGTGTGGAGCAGAGAGCTGCCATCTAGGGTGCCCGGGGGAGCAGATGGTGGGGGGTTAAGTGTCTTGCTCAAGGGCCCAGCAGGGTGTGGCCAATGAGGGCAGAGGCAGGTGTGTGTGTGTGTGTTTCACCTATCCCACCCACATTTTGATGTTGTCAGTCGATCTGGGGAGTTGAACCGACAACCTTCCGACCACAGGCCCACCTTTTCTAACCTCTGCGCCACCACACCCCTCATATCCAAGGACACAGGAGGTTAAATCAATCTGAAGCTGTTTTTCAAGAACTTATGAACAGGTCTCATGATCAGAGCCAATCAGAACCTTGAGTGTCTAAACTACTTATTTTCAATTGTTCACAGAGATGGGAGTGTGAGCATGCATTTGGTGAAAGCCCCCCCTTATTAACCCCCTCCCTCTCACACACCGAGCTTCGGAAAAAGATGACCCAAAAAGCAGACGCTCACACTTTACGCACGACGTTAGGAGTTCCCCTGTTTCCACGGTGAAAACGCCCCTCCTGTGCTCCTCCTGTGCTCCTCCTGTGCTCCTCCTGCTGACAGTCAGCCACCCCTGCCGGCTGCTGCCTGCCTCTGTCCCCAGCCTGCAGCGCTCCATCTCCCGCCGCAGAGAGAGAGGCGCTCCGGGGCGGTGGCGGCGTCCGTCCTCTTTGGTCCCCCCACCCCCAACACCCTCCACCGCAGGTCAATGAGCAGAATCCGGACCGAGGCTTGACATCCGGACCTGACGGGACAGGTATGCACTTTATTTATATCTGCCTCGATCTGATTCACGTGCACGGAACGTTCTTATCGTCTCTTTTTTTGGACGGTGACAGTTTGTGAGAAGGAGGAGGAGACGTCAGCCGCTGACAGAAACAAAAACGCTTTGCGCACAGATCCACAGCGACGGAAATGAGACAGCGCTTTTGTGCTGCCTGTGCCATGTAGAGGGTGTTACCACACAGAGCAATATGGTGGGCAGCTTGCTTTAACCAGCTGCACATCCTTTATTCCGCGCGTCTCAAGGCCCAGCAGGAAGAGGCAGGTGCACCTCTATCGTTTTATTGCATCTCTTGGTGCTGAGCACATCTCACCAGTCCGCTCGGTTTCTTCTTCTTAATCATGCACAAGGAATGTGATGTTCCCTTCTTCTGTGTGGAGTCATGGCTAACAGCTGATGCTGAGGAGAATGGGCTAATTGAAGATGGAGAGTGCTGGCGGGTGTGGCAGAGGGGACAGGCATGGGTGCCTCGGTTGTCTGGAGCTCTCCTCAGTGCCATGGAGAGCTTTTAGAGTTCAGACATGACCTCAGACTGGTGGAGAGTTTGTCAGTGCGAGTGCAAAACTGCTATATGTTGTAAAAACTGACGAGTTGTTCCCTTTCGTCAGGCACGTTGAATCTTTCACATGAGCGGTTGTTAAAGCCGCTCAACAATAGAAAGCTGGCTGCTTCTTTGTTAAACTGCAGGTCTATTTCAAATCTTTCATTGCCAATATTTGTGAGACAATAAGATTTAATTAACTGAGCAACTTCCTGAACTCTAATGGTCTTTTTGATCAATTGCAGTCAGGGTTTCAACCTCATTACAGCACAGAATGAACACTTATTAAAGCAATAAATGATCCAAGGTTGAATATTGACTCAGGTACGGTGTCAGTTTCAGTGCTTTTAGATTTTTGTGCTGCATTTGACCGTGTAGATCTCAACATGTTGTTGAACAGGATTGAAACTTGGATAAGACTCAGTGGGACATTTCTAAAATGGTTCACATCCTTCTTTGGAGGCCGAAGAAAATTTTGTGATTATTGGAAGTTACAAGTTGGATCAAATGTCTCTGGCATGTGGGGGTTCTCAAGGATCTATTCTTGGACTTCTTTTGTTTAGCATGTATATGCTACCATTAGGTAAAGCTCTACAGAATTTTTATGTCGTCTACCATAGTTATGCAGATGACACACCCCACTACATGATTCACTTCTATAGAATCAATCAAATACTACTACTACTACTAATAATAATAATAACAATATGTCACTCGTTAATACAAATAAACAACTGAATGAACTAACCATCTGACTAATGACAAAACCGAGATAACTGTTTGACACTGACAAAAGAAAACAAAGATCAAGTTATAAATCTTGGTGTGCTGATAAATTTTGACGTTCTTAGCAAGAAAATAGTTGATAATATTTCAAAGATATGGTTCAAATCATTTGACGTGGGGTTCTGTAGAAAGGTTATGAACATTTAATATCCTACCTGCTGTAGATAGTCTCTTTGAAAGACCTCAGTTAGGAGAAACAGACGTGTAACTTTGTCAGACTTCTGCATTTTTCCGATGGATGCAAAACTAAGACCTAAATAGATACAGGCAATAAAACTATGAGATGGGTAATATTTATTATGTTGCATTCGTTGTCAACACTTTGTCTCTGATGACTGTGTTGATCAAGACCATGGTGGTCTTTAAAAAAAGAGTTAATCTTTCCAAGTATTGATATATTATAGAGGCAGTAAGAAAAGATGAAGCTTTAAGGACGATCGCCCCCTAGTGGCTGGATGAAGTACTATTGTTAGGTTCAGCCCCTCCATGCTAATGAATGGGACATTTCCTGACAAAAAATTAAAATAAACTTTTTTCAGGTGTTGATTGTTGACTCATGTGTTTCTTGTCTTGCTACTCTGTGCTCAAATTTGCATTTGTTAACAAAAAGTGTCATGTCACATTTTGATTGACAGTGCAGCCTTTTAGTGAGATGGGGGAGTATTTAAACAGGACCTCCATTGTTATGGAACAGCCCTGCATCCTTATGGTGCACAAACTCTGGCTCCAAAGTGCAGTGAAATGACAGTGCTCCGAAAAACAAATATTATGGCTTCAAATTTCAACAGTGGAAGTTAATAGAGTTGTGCACGTTGTCCATTTTTATTTAGATTATTGATTCCAAGACTTTTTGACAGGAATAGCTTTTCCTAAAAAGAGTTATCGGTAAAATAAAAAGTTTTAAGTTAAATTGTAAATTAAAAAGTTTTAGGGTAAAAGATAATGGATGGATGAATTCTTATAAACTTTTACACCACCGTCGTTTGACATTTTATGGTTATTTTGGCAGAAATGTTATCAAATTCCTGCAGGAAGTGCCCCAGCTGGCTGCACAGAGCAGAAGTAATAGCTGCTGCTATGTACGCTTGGAAGTAACCATCAATTATTTTTCTTAACTGTAACATGAAACTGCTGCTAATGTAAAGCTTCATAAAACAGCATCTACATGATTGTCTATGAAAAGTCTGAAATGGGAGATGAGTTAAAAACACAACACTGCCACACATTTCTGCTGTTTGCCATGCTACAGAGAAAACGAGTTAACCCGTCATTGACGAGTGTCCGGTTTCTTTAAAAACAATTTTAGTTCTGACCAGAATCAAGATCAAAGTGGATTACTGCTGTCATAAAACACGTCCATTCTCAAAAATGTCATAGCTGTTGATGTGAAAGCTATTTTATAATCCCTGACACCGCTGACACCTCATTTGCCTTATATGCAAAAACACACTCTGTAGGTCATATACTGTTGATGGCAGTTTAAAAGGTTTAAACATAGTGTTAGCTTAAAAAGCTATGACATTTTGAAGATTAGAGTTGCTTTAAAACTGCTCTCGCTCTGAATAACCTTTAGCTCAGCAGTCCAGTCAGAACTAAACTCAGTTTCTTCACATTGAGGTTCTTCAAGCAGACAAAAGATGGTTCATGACTTCACACAGAACCCCACCTTCAAAGATCTGGTTTAAGTTCAACCTTTTCTTTCACTGCTTTTAAAATTAATTCACTTTACAAGCAGCAGCTCCGACATGTTCTCCAGGTAAATGAAATCAGAGTAGGATGAAGCTAATCACTGCAGCCCTCGCTGCTTTCCTGGACAGACAAACTGACTGACAGGTAACTCAATTTAAATTAGATATTGTGCTGTGCAGAATATAGATTTATTTATGTAGCATTTTGAAGGTCAGCCTATTAGATGTTCCAAGTTACAAAACAGAGATAACCGAGTTTTACTTCAAAGCTTTGATCGAACACTAAAGATACAAGATAAATACTACACAGTATATTTGAGCCACTCAGAACGGCATAAACAGCATCTATAGTACAAACAAGTTCTCATCACCAGTAATGAACTCTTTTTTTCATCCTCTTTCTGCTCAGACAGACTGTCAGCCCTCAAGTATTTGGCTCTTGTGCAGTGACACCACAGGCCATAGTATCTTCCAGACTGAGTTTGTGGAGGCAGAGTTAGGGAGGGGGGTAAATTAGATCTGCAATCTATCCACCCATCTGTCCATCCAGGCCTCTTCCCCTCTGTGCATCCTTCTAGCTCGTATTCTTTTCACCTGCTCCACTTTTAGCCTCCACAGCGTTGATTATGACAGTGCAAACATAGAGTGGTGCTCCTCTGTTAGCTGGGAGTAAAAGGCAATTTGCATATCTTGTTAAACCCCAACAGGAAAATATTTTAAACACTTGTATGTATGTATTGCACACTAAGTTTTGAATAGTTTTTTTTTTCTTACTTGTGGAATCTCAAATTAAGCAAACACCAGATTTAAAAACTCCTTAAGCTACCGTAGTATCTCACTGGGGTATGATTAGTTGGAGACACAAAATTGTGGGGAAAATACACAAATTGTCATTTGGGATCGCACTGAATGAGTTCATCCGTTATGTTCTCGTAATTACTTAACTGTTAATAACAGCTGTGACATTCTTGTAAATGATGTGCTCAATTTTAGGTTGCATTTAGTCTCATAGATGTGTCTCAGTTGGACAAAACCATTCCATAGTTGTCTTGTATCTGCTCACAAAAACTAATTTGAGAAGGTATTGGGACAGGTTTCTGTGATGACCCTGTGACTACTCTAAATGTGCCACATTCATTTTTATTTGTATATTATTAGTGAGGCCCTGCAACTCAAACATAAATTGAGAATTCTTGAAAACATTTCAAGACATTTTGTAAACTCTTGCCAATTGCTGTTTGCAATTTGTGTCTGACAGTCGCAGGCTAATGAAATGCAGGCTGCAGATGAACTAACTGGTTTATATGGTACGTGGTGTATGCAACTATGCTGCCCACTCAGGTTGATGTGGACCAGAAGTTATAGTCAATATGTTGTCAGTCAGTAGGATGTTCCAACCATTGTGTGTGCGTGTGTGTGCTTTTTCCTCAATGATACAAGCATGCATGCTTGTTTAAGGTAGCACACTTTGATACAATTCTCCCTAGAGTCCCATGTTAAGTTATCCCATGATCGATTTGCAGTAGCTCGTTGAAGCAGAGCCGATGTGCGTTCACAGCCTTTCTGCAACTCTCGGGATAAAACTCACGTTGCTTGAAAGTCAGAGGAGCTTTCAAAGGCGTATCAAAGATAACAGCATGTAATAAACTGTCACTTGTGCATTATCATTGCGAAGGATACACAAATTAGCATATCAAAGTTGTGACGGTAAACGTGGTTTGTGACAGACATATCTATTTGGGGAGCCACATGTTATCATAAGATGAGGCTTTTAGTTTTAACAATCTGCAGTAATGGATTTTCTGCAGCATATGAGTCTAAATTGTGATGCCTGTCAGAGTGAGAGGCTGCAAAGGTAATGAGTTTCCTTTTGATAAAAATAAAAATATAAAAAATAAAAAACATGCTGCATGATGATTGTTAAAGCAGATTTTTAAAAAATCTTATTACTTTTGTTA